CCCCAAAACCCCAAAACCCCAAAACCCCAAAACCCCAAAATATAAATTAAAACTTCTAAATTCGAAATGTCTTCACTGAGGTCGAGCCATGATCTGAACACTGATGCTGGGGCAAGCACTAAGAACAAATGCCGTAAATTTATAATAATGGATAAGGACTCAAGTTTCAACTTGGGAAATACCATCAAGAACAAGAACTTCGAGAATGATCTTCGTAACTCTTTGAACTTAATGGGAGTCAAATCCTTGAATCGTATCAGGTTCTCTAAATAACCAGAAATCAGGGAGGAACACAGGTCACGGGACAGTGAAACAGAAAGGATCCCGGATTAAGTTTGTCAAGAAACATAAGAAGGCTACTGGCCCTCTGAGTCTTTATGAGGGAGAGAAGCCTCTGTCTCCAAGGTTTGTCCCTAATGATAATCTCAAGTCTCCTTTTAAACAGAGAAGAAATCTTAGGAATAATGATAATAACTCCCTAGGCAGGAGACTTCCCAGGATTAGTCTCCGAGAAATCGAGGATAACAAAAGGTAAGTAGGACTAATATCTTGTATAGATGGCGATCTCTCGGGAAAAGAGACCCGACTCAGTTCTCAGCTAAATCAGAAGAACCAGAGAAGTCTATTAAAGTTGATAATACTGAAGGTATGTCTCTTGGAAATTATGCACTTATTTTTAACAAATTCATCTGAAGAACTTGGATTTAATAGCCTTGAGTTTATGATAAATTATATCGTAATATAGAAGAATCGGTCACAACAACAAATAAAATCCCTCGGTCTCGGATTATCAGTAGTGCGAAGTCTCCTAGACGAGGAAAGCTACAATCAGTATAGCATCAGATTAATACATAGTTATTCAAAAATTACTTGATCGATAGATGAAAGAACAAATTTTTCATTGATTCCTTATGTCTCAAAATAGAGGCTTTATTCGGTGAGAAATATACAAAATTAGAGGAAATCCATATGCAAGAGCTTCATAAATAAAGATGAGGAAATTACTAATTTTAAGACACAATTGAATAACTTAGAAGTCAAACTCAAGAGTCAAATTGATGACATACAGGTTGATCATCAAAAGGAGCTTGAGGAAACCAAATAAACTAATCCGTAAGTGTCATCTTAACTCTTAGTCACTGAGGAGGACATTCAAGCTAAGTTCAATCAGCTCAGGACTCAGAGAATGAAAGAATGAGAGAAGTGCAAAGATTTCAGAGAGATTTGTAATATCCCAACTCATGTCTAGGCCAAGCTGACTCTGACATTTTTGACGATTTAAATAAATAAAATTGCTCTTAAAGATCAGAAGATCGAAGAGTTGCAAGACTTGATCAATAAACTAGCCAAAGAGACACAATTTTCATACAAAAGTCATCAAGCATTACTTGAAAAGGCAAAGAATGCACTTGGAAATAAATTTGACTATGTAGAGCAAGCTCCTGTGATTCAATAGTAGTTGTATGAATCTAACTCATAGTGATGAGGATAACCCTACAAATATAGTCAATGTGTTCATATTCCCTAAATCTATGAAGCCTGACTCTGATAGTATCCTCGAGCTAGAAGAGGATATCAATAGGTTCATTTCAATTAATCTTACCAAAGACCCTCATGAGTCTTTAAGCTGCGCACATATTATGTCTAGTCATGGAGAAATGACCTTCGATATTGCCAATGAGAGTTTTAATAAAAGCTTCTACAGCCGCCTAGAAGTTCCAATGGAGAAATAAACTGCATAATGCCTTCCTACAGCCTAAAGAGGATGAACCAGATGAGGTCTTTGAACCTTTGGATCAAATGAGTAGCTTTACGTACGGTGGTGGACTTTTGACTATAAATATTGAACAATTTTGCTATTTTATGTAAATAATAGCTATTTTTAGCTTAACTTAAGGATAGATGAAATTATTATTTAGTCAGAAGATAGCAGCACATATAATTTGATGAAATTAAAGCTTATTCTTTCCTCGAGTAATTAATGATTGTATAATTCTTAATCTCCCTATGATCTACTATAAAATAAAGATGATCATACATAGCTTTGAGACTAAATCTGGGGAAATTTCTTTGTCCATTTAGCATAGAATAATATGTGAAATTTAGTGGTGACCTTTAAAGGACGGTATAAATTAGAAAATTCTCTCAAATTGTTGAAATCCTTTTAAATACTAAAATTTTGCAATAACTCTCTAAACTTTGTCTAATTATCCTACAGGTCAGAAGAACTTACCAGCACAGAGGAAGAACATAAGGAGAAGCTGAGTATGATCGAAGTAAGCTTTTTGTTTGTTAAAACACTCTAAAATGCACCTCAACAATGTCTCATTAATGTAGAAATACAGAGATATCATCATCTCCAAGTGCAAGGATACCAGCGAGAAGTTAATGCAGAACTACAAATCTGATCTGAAGAAACATTTCGAAAAGTTCTTTTACAGAGCACAGAAGATTGATAAAATCAGGAAGCAGTTTTATAAAACTGACCTGTACAAACAGAAAATCAGGAAGAAAAAGTCTTATGGAAAAAGTCATGACTATATTGAGGTATTTACGACCACTAGTAATCTCTCTAGGCTAAAGGACAGCTATCAGGATCAGCAGTAGAAATTATTTGACTGATTTATAGATGTCTAAAGAGACCTTACTTCGTAGCTCAACTATGGTGGAAACCATAGGTACTGTGAAAATGGTCAACTCTGATACTCTTCAAAGTAACTTGGATGCTTAAACTACTCTAGAGACCCATGCTGAGCTAGTTCAGGAGAAATTTGAAGATATTTATAAGATACTGGTGGTTAAAATTTTGGAATCCTTCTATATTTTCAATGTGATGAACAAGACAAACCTGAATGCTGTATTTTTATAATCCTAACTCTGCTAGAATTCAAGGATGGATCGAATCTCAAGGTCTTTTATCAGTGATTTCAGGCCAAGAATCATGAAAAATACACGATTTTTAAAGGACTTTGATGTCTCGCTGACTCATTCTTCAGTAGGGGTACAGACAGAAACAGTTCTGGGAGATGTATTCAAATTAGCACACTGAGACACTGTGAGCTACAATAAAGGATTTCCTACATCTTCTAGCTCAGACGAAATAACTCAAAAAGTATATTTGGCTTAAAAGTCTAGAAATGTATCACAAAGGTAGTCATAATGAAACATAAAGAGAATGCAGTGGTTCGAGAATATTCTTACCAACCATTAAACCCAGAGGTTAATTCTGAGCCAGAACGGATTCTAATCAAGCCCCTTGCTAAGCTGGTATTCCCAGGTCTTATCCTCTAGAGTGATTTGAATAACCAAATTGAGAAGAAGAATTTAGTCTTAGAAGAGATTAACAATAGAATAGCACTTTATCAATGTGGTTTATTAAGTCAGATAAATGAGGAAATGAAGAAGGATAGTAGTATTTGAAGGTAAAAATGCTAGAAATTAAGGTTTAAAGTTAGGATAGAAGGTTTTAGATTAATTTTAAGTAGTTTAAAAATGTGATTAGAAGTCTAAGGTGTGTAAAAAAGTTATTTTAGTGAACTTTAAGATTGGTTTTGATATAGAATTGATCTCAGAGTTGCTTATGAGCAGGGATACCAGCATGGCTTTAATGATGGAAGATTTAAGCAGATAGTTGACCAAAAGTATTCTTAGAGTTTATATGTGTAGGGTTGACCCAGAACAATTCAGAGAAGGACTTAAAGAAGGCTGGGATATAGGCTTCAGTGATGGTAAAATTGAAGGCATCAGAACTATTTTTAAAGACGCTAAAAAGCAAGGAGTTGACCTCCTTACAAAATCTATAGACGATTATCTTAACGACAGCTTTAGGTTTAATAATGTGAAATATATATTAAAATAAGCGATTATTTTTCAAAGATTCTTCATCGTCAGCTGCAGCAAAATTCCAGTCTATCTACAAAGAATACCTGTCTTTCAGTAATTCAAAGGTATTTGTCACTTTAATACACCTAGAAAGCCAAATATTCAGATAAAAATCCAAAGAATTTGCTTAAATTTATTGACAAAATTTACACAAATAAGTTCAAAAGCTCAGTGAAAGAGATATCTCTTGAGGATGTCATCTTCACTACCTTTGGGTCACTCAAAATGACTGAGAGGAAGATCCTAAATGTGTTGTGAACCATTAATACTTTCCAGGTAAGTTTCTTCGTAACTATACTATCTAATTACACTTTTCCCTTATTGCCTATTACTTCTAAAGTATTTATCGATGGTCCTTGGTTGCGGTGACAATTATAGAAAGCGCTATAGCTCCTTAAAGATCACCTTATTTATCTAGAAATTCGCTAGATCGCCTAGGCTAATCTCTTGGTTAACCCAGATGTTTAATATTTTATAGAAAAACAACTTCAAAATTCAACTTTTCGCAAGATTCCTTGGGATCACTGACCGAAACTACAACCAAGAAATTGTAAGCCCCGTGTGTGATGTTTAGCTAGAGTTGTTCTTTAAATGACTGGAAAGGCTAAAGTCACTGTATGCATGTTTTTACCAACTCTAGGTTCATTACTTTTGAGGATTACAAACCAAACACTAAGATTAGCCTGACAGAAGCAATTCTATTGTATCAGAAAATGTACCGATCTCAGCTGCCGCTTGAAATTTTCCAGAAGCTTAAAGTATCAGTACGACCCTTTGGTATAAGAATAGATCGAAAATATGGTTGAATATAAGAGCGAATTTAGTAGGAGAGACCTTATTGGGATAGATTTGAACCAATACCTTGATTTCATTATCAAGGTTTTCTTAAAATACAAACCACACCTAGTAAATTCTTGATAAAAGTTTAGTCACCAAGATATTCATTCATTTTCAACGGTTGGACGGTACAGATACAAATTAATGATATAGCTATTTGACTCTAGTTACATAACATGGACTGACTTCTGAGACACAATCAGAATCTTCGCAGATGATGAGAAAATAGAGATCCTTAGTGATAAATATGACAAATGTGGAGATCTCAAGAAGGGATTCATGACCCTGAAAGAATACAAGAAATATTGCCTCAAACAACTGGGGTATCGATACGGCAATGATAAAATCCAAATAAATAAAGATATTTTTAGGAAACTTACAGAGAATACTAACTTATTCACCAATGAGGTGGCAGAGATGATTTTACTGCATGCGTAGGACCTTTCATGACCTTTAGGAATTATTATGGCACTACCAGTGAGTTCCAGCAGTGGTATTATACCTGCACTGAAGAAGAAATGTAAGCACTTTGGGTCTCATTTATAGGTGGCACAAGATGGTAATCTCACTAAGATCTCTCGTTAATAAACTATAGTCAAAAATAACTTCAAAGAAGTTGACCAGAGAGGTTACTAATAGAGAGAAAATTTTAAGAATGAAGAAGAAAGTCGAGAAGCTTGAGAAATGCTTAGATTCATATGGCTTTAAGGACCCCAGTGCAAGTGTTGCTTCCCCTCTGGACCCGAGTCTGAGTAACTTGGCGCTGATCATGCTGTATCTAAGTTATTATTCAAAATAAAATATGTTTCAAAATTAACTAGCCTTTATGGGGTTTTGGGGTTTTGGGGTTTTGGGGG